GTTCCTTGCTTCTGGAGACTCCTCATCACTTCTCATCCTTTTGTTTTTTGTTTTTTTTTTTTTTTTGGTTTTTTGAGACAGGGTTTCTCTGTGTAGCTTTGTGCCTTTCCTGGAACTCACTTGGTAGCCCAGGCTGGCCTCGAACTCACAGAGATCCGCCTGGCTCTGCCTCCCGAGTGCTGGGATTAAAGGCGTGCGCCACCACCGCCCGGCTCACTTCTCATCCTTTTAAACACACAGGGGAAGCGGCACTGGGTAGTCATAACCAGTTCTGTCACCAAACGACAGTGAACACAGCTCGTGCCCTCATTTGTCACAGACTGTAATTAATTAACATCAATTAACAATACACATTATGCAAAGGAGTCACTACCTTCACATTAGGAACTCAAAGGTCATGTTTGAGCATCCGGGCCTGTGTCCGTACCCAGCATAGTGGAATCCTTCAGCCCAGCAGCGAGGATGGAGCGTCTCACCTCCCCAGAGCTGTGATTTGCCTCAAAGGACAAACTTGGCAAGCTGTTTTGACACCTTTTGTGTCCTCAAGGTGTCCCATAGAGTTGAGTTCCAACCAGCTCACTTAGACAACTGGATTTGCAATGAGCTTTTCATGACACGTGGGGAAAAGACTGTTCAGTCAAGGTTCAGTCACGAGCAGAAAAACGGAACTGACTGTAACTGGGACTGCTGTGTGCTGGAAACGGAGCTCTTCCAGCCGGCAGCAGGCAGCAACCATCCTCGTGGAGCCTGCTGGACGCAGCCCTCTCTGCCAGCATTCCTGCAGCCACACAGAAAGAACTCAGCTGCCATCTGGGGAGCTCCCGTCTTCAGCAGAGGCAGCAAATCTGCCTGGTTTCTGGGGACTAAACCCGAGAACTACAAAACAGCAAGAGGTAGACAGCTGCGCATCCACCCTGCTTCCTCTGCGAAGACTCATCCTCAGCAGGATCTGTTTTTACGCTTCCCTGTTCAACAGGCCTCCAGTAAACTGGGATCTGAGACATGCACTGCTTGTCTACACAGGCGAGTAACACCCCTGTGGTGAATACCCTTTAACACCCCTGTGGTGAATACCCTTTTGCAGGCGACTCTAGCTCTCCTGCCTGCCTCTGTCTCCCTGGAAGGAGCTCCCTTCCGCTGATTCCCTTCACCATTCTGCAGGGCCTCAGTGTTTCGAGCAAGCATGAGAACCGTACAGCTCAAAAAGGTTGAAAAATAAAGCAGAGGGGTAGGCAAGACGGTGCCTACCAGGTACAGGTGCCTGCAGCCAAGCCCGAGGGCCCAAGTTCAATTCTCAAGACCCATGTAGTGGGAGGAGAGAAGCAACTCCTGAAATATGTCCTCTGGTTCTACATGCACACTGTGGTGCCCCTGTCACACAACAAGCAAATAAACAAATAAATAAACAGGCAATTTCAAAAACCAAAAAAGAGTAGAAAATCCACTATCTCTGTGAATACAGTGCACAAAGTGGGCGTGGGGGGAGAATTTCACCTCTTACTGTTCACTCGGCATTAATCAAGACTCGTCCTCTGAGTAGGCAAGTTTCTAATTAACTGCTCATTAATCTCCAAGTTTTAGGAGCCCCGCCATTCTTCTCTGGTGGGAGACCTGCTGCTTTCCGCTGCTTGCAAGGCAGGGAACCTGGACTGTGTGGAACTCACAGTGAAGAAAAGCCATCCCCTGCCCTTGTTGCTTTTCAGCCAGCCACCTCTGGCTGTCAACCTACTCCTCGCTTCCTTTGATCCACCCAGGGTGTGTGACTCTTCCTCTGGCCTCCATTCTACCCTGAGAGCCGAGGTTCATATCCCTCCAGCCAAATGCTTTCTCATGAGAATGAATACAATGGCTCAGAAAGATTTTACAGGATGTAAAAAAAGTATAAAAACGGCATTCTAGTGATAAAAAAACTGGATATAAAAATAATAGCACGGACAGAAGGATGTACTCTTAGGTATCATCAAGACCCTTTCCTGGGCTGTGAACTACAGTTTGCTGTTGTAAACATCAGTAGACCTAACCATGGACTGACTACAATCCACACATATGTTTAGGGCCAGCGAGATGGCTCAGGGGGCAAAGGCTTGCCACCGAGGGCGACAGCCTGAATCAACCCCCAGTCCCAGGAGGTGGGGGAAAGAACCGACGCCTGCAAGTTGTCCTCTGACCTCCGCACACGCGCTGAGGCACACGTGCCACAGACACACACCTCACACACGAAAGTGCACAGGCACGTGTCAAAGTGACGTGAGGGAGGTGGCAGTCCAGGCCTTTCAACAGGTAGTTGAAACAATTAGATGCTGAAATGCAATGAATGCATCCTGACCCAGGCCTCGTACTTACTAAGATAAACTCAGATTCAAACAGCACAGGCTAACGTCCTTGTGACCTTATTTAAGCAAAGACATTTTTAGATACACTCTTAAAATGTGGACAAAATAAATTTGGCTAGGAAAAAAAAAAAAAAAACAACCCTCATTCTGTGACATTGCAAAGAGATCTCCAGGCTGGCAGGAAACATTGACAAAATGCATTGTCTGAGGAAAGAGGTATTTATAACAACAGCAACAACATCCCCCAAGCTCAACAATAAACATCATTCAGTTAGAAATGAGAAAAAGATTGAATAGATATTTTGCAGGAAAAGATAGGTTGGTAAGACATGGAAAGATGTGTAGTTTTACTGGTCACATTAAAAGTCACAATGCAATAATAGACAGACAACTGTTAAAATGTCCATGAGCAAAACAAAAACATACTAACAAAGGACCACGTAACTGGATCCCTCATATGTTATTGGAAATACAAAATAACAGGGTTACTTGAAGTAGTTACTGCCTCTTTATAAAGTTAAAACAGATTTGTCATGAGCCCCACAGCCTCATTCTTAAGATTTTAGTGAAAAGGAATATACATTTATGCTCAAATGAAACCACACATACCAATGTTCAAATGTCACACTGGGTACCCTGAAGTCTGTTCGTACAATGGAAAGGGATATATTTTTGAAACGGAAAGTAACATGAATTAATCTTAAGAACATTGCACCAAGGAAAGGAGCCAGGCAAAACAGCCGTATACTGTCCCGTGCCGTATCTGTGATGCCCTGACGGAGACAAAACTGCAGACATAGAAAACACATCTGTAGCTGCCAGGGTTTGGGGTGGACATGAAGGACGCAGAGGAAGTGGGGCCTTCAGGGGCAGCGGATGGAGCTTTTCCAAACCTTGATTGCAAACTAGTACCAGTCCATTTTGGATATATACATATGTGTGTATATACATGTATAAACATAATGCTACAAGTCATTTTACAGAAAACAAAATTTAGAAGACTTAATGGAAAAAGATAGTACAATATATTTTTAAAAATAGGAATTTTTTTTTTAAATGTCAGCCAACAGGAATGTATGTACTCTACACCGAAAGGAAAAACAGCCTGAGGTACTAATTGGATTGTACTGTGTGGAATGAGTGTTTGTCAGAAGGTCTGTTCCTGCTGCAGGTGTGCCTTCTGGAAGGAGAAGAGGAAATGTTGCTCTTTCAAGTCAAAGCTTTGGAAGGATCCCAAGGAAATCATCCACTCACCTCACGGGCTCTCACAGAGGTAGGGCATCGTGTGCTTATTTGTTTTCTAGCCTAAATGGCCCTCATCCATTCAGATCTACGACTTGACTGTGAGTGTGTGTGTGTGTGTGTGTGTGTGTGTGTGTGTGTGTGTGTGTGTCCATGCCACAGCACATGCATGGACGTCAGAGGACAACTTTTGGGAGTTGGTTCTCTCCTCCCACCATGTGGGTCCCAGGAATCGAACTCAGGGAGTTATGCTTGGCAGCAAGGGCATTCAACCTGTTGAGCCAGCCAGTTCCCATGTTTATGATTCAGAGACTTCTTTTCTCTTTTAACTGACAGGATTGATGCATCAAACTTAAGCAGTATTGTCTTTGTGAATAGCAGAGACTATTAACACAAAGCTACTTATTTCATTATACAGGAAACGGAGTGAGCAGCTCTCAACACAAAAACAGATATCGGGGATCTGACAAGCCTAAGATTATTTTCGCTATGCTCATCATTAACTTCCTCTTAAATACTCATATTTATCAAATGCCGGAATGCAAGAAAGAGCAGTGGACTGAGGGTCACCAGTACGGGATCTCCAAGTCCTCTCTATGTTTTCTGAAGAGTGATAGTGAACCACAGCTGACACCTACCCCAGCTCTGATCTCTTTCCAGAGTGTTAGCCAGGAAACTGCAACGTTCTAAAGACTCGGTCAACTTTCCATGTCAGAATTTGCCTAAGAATATAGATTCCACTGGCTTTTCAAAATCATTGACCAAAGTTCAATGGTTACTTATTTATTCTTTTGCTCAGACCTCATCTCTTCACCTGGGCTTCTCCCACTACTCTGGGGGGTGTGTAGGGGAGGGGAACCTTCACACAGACATCTTTGCCTCTTTAGAGGATTCATCACATAATAAAGGTCGAAATATGTCAATCTGCCACTGGGTTTACCTGTTCCAGTTCGAAGATATATCCACTTGACTTTAGATACGCAAAACAAGCTTAGGTCAAGTTGAACATATGCAAAGGATGTCTCAGACATCGCTTGTGATGGCTGCCCACCCTGACTCCTTCCCTACCTCATCTGTGCTGTCCAGTCACTGCTCTGATCCTCAGTTTACCTTTTTGAAACGGCATTTAACATACCCTGAAACACCTAGGCCCTTTCTCTTCTTTCCTCTTCTGTCTTCTCCTCGCTCCTCCCTTTCCTCCCTCTTTTTCCTAATCTAATGTCTAAAGCCCCCTCTTCGGGATTTAAACTCTACAGAAACAGGAACTGCGCATGCTCAGGTTACCAGGACCTACGTCTGGGGACAGTGGCCACACAGTGAATGTTTCCTCAGTCGCTAAACTCAACCTTCAGCTTCGTGCTACCCAAATGGAGACAGACCAAGGCAAGCAACAAAGGTCGAAGGCACTTCACTCACCCGACTTACCTGCAAAGAGGCTCTACAAGGTCCCTTTCAAGAAAATCATGGTCTTTTTTGACAGCCACGATGTTGATGGGAAACTGTGAATCTAGGAGGGAAAGGGGAGGCAGAGCTTAATGCCCTTTGCTGTATGTGAACGCAGGCCAATGCACTCAGGCCACACGTTCTGCCCAGATCCCCCATCTTAACCACAGCTACGGCCTATTACGATTGCTGATGGCATTTAAAAATAGCACACAATTTTATTTTTATCACAGAAAATGCTTTTGAGAGCACAGTGTAAGTACAAAATATGAAAACAAGTGCCCGACCTTGGACAAGATTAAATGCTAAGTGCCCTTAGTGTCCATCCTTATCAGACACCCTCAGGTGGAGGTGGGGAAGAACATCGACATTATTCCCACTCACCTAGCACAGGCTACAAACTGATGATTTCATAGAATTCTCAGTTTGGAAGATTTTTTTTTCCCCTTCACAAAGGACATTTCCAAAAGTACTCCAAGTTCAATGGTCTCAGATTTTCTTTTCCTTCCTTCCCGCCTCCCTTCCCCCTCCTTCCCTTCCCCCCTTCTCTCATCCTTCCTTCCTCTCTTTTTTGGTAGCAAAGTCTGCAGTCATCTTGAAGTTCCCTACTGATGCTCCAAGAGAAGAGATCCCAGCCCCATGACTATTCCTCAAAATAGGACTCATACCAACTGGGTGGTTACTGTCAATATCCAGAACATGGCTTTAATTTTAGGTGCCTCTATTACATAGGAAAACCTCTGGGTAATACTTGGCATAACAGCCAAGGTCACATTTAAGGGTCAGTTCACTGTGACTGCCACGCCTTCCTATTTTTCACTTCTCCTACCTTCTGAGTTATAATAAAGCTAATGTTTCTAAACCTTCCTCTGAATTGGAAGCAGACGCTACCCCACGCCCCCATTCTGGGGAAACATCTTTGCCTCTTTAGAGCATGCGCCGCCACACAGTAAAAAATTAGACATGATCAGTTTGCTGACGTATTTACTTGGCCTGACAAGTTCCAATTTGAAGACATAACCACTTGGTTTAAAAAAAAATCCAGTCAAGTCAGATGAAAAAGTATTTCACAGTGACTGAATCCTTCCTGGTCCCCACATGAACACCCCCTCACTCTCCTGGCAAGTGAGTGTCCGTCACAGTGAGAAGCACAGACAAGAGAGCCCAGAGACACCAGTTTTAAGTCCTCACTGCTTCCTTGCTGTGTTGCTCTGGGCAAAACCCTGTTCCTCAACTGTACAATATCACAGTCATGATGGCCACTCTATGGTGGAAGTGTGGATACTGGTTTTTGAATAATAGGTGGCACAGAGGAAGCTCTGTTCCCATTATGTTTATGCAACGTTTATGGATTAGACACAGTCTGGCTGGCGCGCGCATGTTTCTGAGCTAATAGCGCACCTGAGGTAATTATGGACTGCTCACATTTAAATCTCATAGTAGCTGTGGCATGTACATTATAGTGTATATATTTATATGTAATACTCATCAAGAATTAAAAGGCTGGCATTTCACTTAAGGAGAGTGAGCTGCTTCCTCATTGCTGTTTTTCTTTGGACACAAATCTCGACATGTTTGGGAAGAGAGAATCTTAATTGAGAAAATTCCTCCACTGTATTGGCCTGCAGGCAAATCTGTGGGGTATTATCTTGACTAGTGATTGATGGAGGAGGGCCTCACTCGCTGTGGATGGTGCCATCCCTGGGCTGGTGGTCCCGGGTTCTATAAGAAGGTGAATTGAGCAAGCCATGAGGAGCAAACCAGTAAGCAGCACCCCTGCATGGGCTCTGCATCAGCTCCTGTCTCCAGGTTCCTGCCTCGAGTTCCTGCCCTGACTTCCCTCAGTGATGGAGTGTGACCTGAGAGTTGTAATGTGAAATAAACCCTCTTCTCCTTACTTTGGTCAATGGTGTTTGTCACAACAGAAGCTCTAACTAGGACAGAGAGTCATTCAACATTCTGGGCTTCGCCTTCCTAGTTAGTAAATTGCTGGGAGAGAGTAGGAGGTGGGAATAGCTTACACTTAAACTATAGGAACTATAGGAGTCCATCCCTTCCTTCCTTCCTTCCTTCCTTCCTTCCTTCCTTCCTTCCTTCCTTCCTCCCTCCCTTTCTCTCTCTCTCTCTCTCTCTCTCTCTCTCTCTCTCTCTCTCTCTCTCTCTCCTCTAAAAGGCTCTGTAGGACCCCGTGGAAACTTTTTTTTATCAGAGATTCTAATCTTCAAACTACATTCCAACGTTAACTCTCCTTTGTCCTCACAGAATTTAAATGAACAAATTAAAAAAAAAAAAACCTTTTGGTTTTTAATATGAAATTGAGATTTTGGATGAAAGGACAGGAGTCATCTATAAGTAAAGATAAATTCTGTTGGCTCTTTCCAGCCTCCACAACACTGGTGCCGCCAGGAAGGGAAGCTGCCTTTGCTCGTGTGCTGGGTGCCGTCAGGAAGGGAAGCTGCCTTTGCTCGTGTGCTGGGTGCCCTCTCTTGAGCTCTCAGACATGCTCTGCTGCCTCCTACTTTGCTGTATGCTTTGAGACCCACTCAGAGAGTGGACAGTATCCAAGGAGGCTCACGCTATCTGCCTTCCTTTGCGCTGGGTCAATGGGAAGCCATGGTTGAAATGCAAGGAGGGAACCACTGACTCTGTCCATGGCCAACTGTGTGCTCCCTCCAGGGATATGTGTGAGGTTCTTCTTCTCTGGGCTCTGGCATCATCCCCCTGCGGTAGTGACAGCTCCAATAACTATAAGCCCTTGGCTCCTTCTTTGTGTATATCTTATCGACAATTTTGTAATAAATACCAATAGCTCTAATTTTCCACAGACAGTCTTGTGTGCCACCTGCTCACTACTGGACTTGACTACTTCATGATGTATCTGTAAGGATGATCTACAAAACACTGAAGATTTGATGATGATCTTAGAAATCAGTAAGACACGGATAAATGAAAACGGTGGGGAATGAGAATGGCCCCTAGGCTCATCGTGTTAGATCACTTGATCCCTAGTCGGTGGCCCCTAGGCTCATTGTGTTTGATCCCTAGTTGGTAGAACAGCTTGGAGAAGGATTAGGGGGTATGGCTTTGTTGGAGGAGGGGTGTCCCTAGGGGTGGACTTTGTGATTTCAGAAGCCCATGTCATTCCCAGCATTTACCCTTTCTGCCTCCTGCTTGTGGATCAGATGTGAGTCTCAGCTACTGCTCCAGCACTGTGTCTGCCTGCTGCTGTGCTCCCCATCATGGTGGTCATGGACTCTGACCCTCTGAAACTGTAAGCCCCAAATAAACCTTTTTCTTCTATAAGTTGCCTTGGTCATGGTGTTTTATCACAGAAATAGAAAAGTAACTAAGACAATAAGTTTATTAACTATTAATTAAAGAATCAAGAACCAGAAGTATAATGCTGGCAAGAAAAGCCACTTACCCAAAAACTCAGAAGACTGACATCTGGTCCATAACATTTTTTTTTTTAAATGTAAAATAAGCATAAAGAAGGGCTATCCCCAAACAACTAGTTTAGAGACGTCTTGGAAGCTTACTAACGACAAGTTCATTGCGATCTCAAAACAACTGAACACAATGAAGATAAAACAAGGAAGAACATGCTAATCGGCAAAGCGCGTTGTGGCAGACACTGGAAAGAGGTTGAAGAGCTGGGTGGGCATCTGCAGGGGGGAGAAGAGAGCAGAGTGCGAATGGGGGTGGGTTGGGCGGCCTCTTATTTCCAGATGTGTCAGAACGAGCTTAGGATTGCCAAGGCTGAGGGAGGAAGGAAGCAAAGCCACCATGCCTCAGAGCAACGACCCAGAAAGCACCAGGCGGGGTCCACATGGTTCGTCCTGAGTTTCCTCTCTTCCTGAAGAAGGAAGGGGCAGGTTCACATACCTTCATACAGCTGAGCGTACTGCGGGAACCCGGCCGCTCGCAGCCAGTCACATGCTTCCTTTGCCTCGATTTCTGAAAAATACAAGAAAAAGAACACTGTGAGTCGCACAGCCACACCCCGGTTCTGCTGGTGTGCGCTTGAGAGTCATTTCGAGGCAAAGCTTCTCCTGGGTTGTCTCGTGTCAGTTAGCCTACCCAGAAGGGAGGATGTACAGAATGTCCAGGCCACTGGAGGCACTTGCTGTGTCTGCTCAGATTATCTCTGTAGGGCCACAGTTCACGGAATGACAACCAACCACAGAGGGCAGAGCACAAAGGCTGAATGTCCTCCAGGGAAAAACACTGTATTTAAGCACCAAGGAACTAGGTGATGAGGGAGGAGAAGAAAGACTTATTATAATAATCATAATCCTCTTTTTAATGGACCTTTTAAACCTTCCAAGATAAGCCCGAGATTATTTATTCAACCTTGCTTTACTCTTTCACTCAAGATAAAAAAAACACAAGCGGCAGTCCATTTTCTCACGAACGAAGGCATTACAAAAATCCAGTTTCACCGATGGTTTTAATTCCCAATACAGTGCGTGAAGATGTTCATTGGTCAAGCCTATTGGAATGACTTCAAACTCAGAGTGCAGAGGGGAAAAGGATGCTGAGACCCAAGTCTCACGGAGCAGCCAGAACCGAGAAGGCCACACCCCGGAGGCCGGCTGGTCCTTCGGGTGACCGTTGGTGGGGTGGATATACCAGCTGCCCATGCAAACAACCTCCCTGAGGGAGTCTGTGGAGTGAGATGGGAGGAGCGACAGCGTGTAAACCAGGTCGTTCTCTGACCTCGTGAATTGTGGATGATTTCACAACCACCATGCTGTTAGATAAACATCAGGCCAGGGAAAAGAAGTTCATCTGGCAGGAGTTCAGTTTCTCCAAATAGAAGTAAAGAGCCCAGGGAAAGGTCCCCGCCAAAGATCTCCTCAGCCGCTGGGACGCTCAGTCGGTGTGTTTCCATTTCCCCGGTGCTTGTTTCCTCTGTAGTCAAAACTGCCAGTAAAGGCCCTCCTTGAATCCTTTACACACACACACACACACACACACACACACACACACACACACACACACACACACACACGATCTACACGAGCATGGGCCGCAGGCCTGAGACTGTGCGCCCTTTCTAATAAAATCTCAGCAGCTGTCCAGCATGTTTGATGTGACATAGCCATTTCATGTGTATTAAAACAAAGGTCAGATCTCAGCTCCCAAAGACACACAAAAGCAAAACCTTCAGGGAGGCAGAGCTTTGCTTAGCATCCCCAATCTGCTGCCACCCCAGGAATAGAGAACTTCCAAGTTCTGGTCTTTGTAGCATTGAGGGGTTTCTGCTAATTCTGACCAGCATGGATTTCATATTCACGTCAAGTTTCAGGCTGCGTATCTATCGCCTGCTTCACTATGACACTGAGTGTTGAAACGAGAAAATAGCTGATTTCCGGACAGGCTTTAAGTTCAGTTAGGAGTTGGTAAGGAATCAAAGAACTCTGTATTTTCTAGTGAATCACACCAACTATGCATTTTGCTGTTTTATTTTTGTTTGTACTATGATCAAAACGTAGTTTTTTTTTTAGCAAAAAAGTCCCAGAGAGCCAGGAAATGATGACATGGAGAGACCTAGAAGCCAGGAGCTCTACAGCGTAAGGAAACTTAGAGGGAAATGGGAATTCAGGGAAACAAAGGATGGTAAACCCCTGGGACAGAAATGATGACAAGACGTGGGGACCTAGAGAGCTGCAGCTCTGTCTAGAAAACCTGCTGGAACTGAGAACTCTGGTCAGGCAGTGGGATGGGATAGAAGCTAGGCAGAACGGTTTTACAGAAGTTCTCTCCAGACTATTTCACTTCCTTTCAAAAATCATTGTTTTAAAACGCTTGTGCCAAGTTTTTACGTTTCAGACTCAAATCCAAATTGTGAGGAGTAAATAATAGTAAATTAGAAAATGCCACTCACCAGGCTACGGCGAGCAGCTCTTTAGAGCATACTCAATTGCCTTTATTTGCCTAAATGCCCCTCAAGCGCATACCCTCCTTTTGCATTCTACAGTAAGATTCAGTAATACGTTCTCCTGCTGGGGGACTCGTTCAGCTTCCAGGACACGTAGAGCTGAAAATGAAGGATGGGAAGGGATGCTGTGTCTTGGGTGGATGGGAAGGGATGCTGTGCCTTGGGGTGGATGGGAAGGGATGTGTTTGAACACTTGGTCCCCACGTGGTGGTGGTGTTTTAGAAGGTTGTAGAATCTTAGAAGGGACATAGCTACAGGGGATGGGTCACTGAGGGGGTGGGGGTGGGCACTGAGGGTTATAGGTCAGCCTCCTTTCTAATGAGCTCTGTGCTCCTCAGCCTGTCCAGATTTGAGCAAGTCCTTCCTACCATGCCGACCTGTATCCCCTCAAACTGTGACACAAAGCAAATCCTCCCTTAAAATCCCTTCTCTCGGGCATTTTGTCACCAACATGAGAGAGGTAACCAGTGTCACAAGTGGGACCCACAAGAGAACAGGGAGAGTTAGTCTACCAAGAGAGAGGTCAGTACGTAGTGATAAAGGAATCAGTCCATCCAGAGGACACAACAGCTCTCTATACACACCCAGTTTCGGGGCACCTTAACCGGCACAGTGAATATTAAGATAACGGAAGGGAATAATGGCAGCTGGCCTAGTGTCCTGCCATCGCAATTGAAGAGCAAAGGAAACTTACCAACCAGCAACAAAACGATCCTGTATAATCGCCACCATCAAATTTCACTTTGACTGTTCAGCTGAGTTGGAAAGGGCCCTTACAGTGTCTCTGGCTCACCCGCAGTCCCTTCAAACCCCTACCAGACAAATGCTGTTTTCCCCAGGGCCTTCGCAGTGGCCAAAACGCAGGACAATTAGAAGGGAGTCATATTGCCAGTGTCATTTCACAAAGATCTATCTAATGAGATTTAAATGACACTTGATGAGGAAAGCATGGACATTTATTTTTTAATGCGCTCCCCGTAACCATCACCGTATTCCACAGAAGCATTAAGAGCCATTAAAATCACATTCTGACTATTCTGTTTGTTCCCCATTCGCAACCCTCACCTGCTCTTGTAGCAGCTGCAGCAACACATCAATTTACTGCAGCCTTCCTCTGAAAACACAGGCTGTGCTTTCAGGAATGCCACGGGGCGCAAGGGCCTACAGGTCTCTCCTAGGTTATTGTCCTAGAGACGTCTCCTTTCACCTGCAGAGATGTGACCCAAGATTCCCGAGGTGAAACCCTGTTTGTGGCCTAAGCCCATCATACGCCGTGACTTTTGATTTGATAGCCGAGATGGCTTCCAAATGGCTGTCAGGCAGGTGACACACACAGTGTGCACATTTGAGACAAAAGGACGACTCTCATCCCCAGTGTGATACAGTGGGACCCTGTGGGACTGTGTGAGATTTCATCATGCTCCCAAAATTCATGAGTTGTTTCTTTTATCTATCTATGTATCTATGTATGTATCTATGTGTGATTCTATGTATGTATGTATCTATGTATCTATGTATTTATGTATGTATCTATCTATCTATCTTATATATCTATGCATCTATGTATGTATGTATCTTTCTATCTACCTGCCATCCATCAGTCTATCTATCTGTCTGTCTGTCTATCTATCTATGTTCAGTGTTTTCTGAGGTAGACTTCAAGTACCTGAAGTTGTGGAAAGGGGAACTGAAGAAAAGGTTTATTGTACTTCACTGCGGAGAATGTAATCCATTTGGCTGGGTACCATGACAGGACTTCTCCAGAACTAAGGATGAAATTTGTGTATGTGTCTGTGTGTGTGTGTGTGTGTGTGTAGATGACCATGCACAAGTGTGAGAATGTGGAGGCCTAAAGCTGACCTTCCTTTATTGTTGTCCTGCTTGTTGTTTGAGACAATGTCTGTCTCTCTCTTAATCGAGAGCTGAACATTCAGTCAGACCACCTGGCCACCTGGCCAGCCAGCCAGCCCTGTGGAACCTTCTGCCTCCACTGTTTCAGTGTTGGGATTACAGGCATGCACCACCGAGACTGTATGTCCTGGGAATCAAACTCAGCTCAGCATCTTGCCTGGCCAGTGCTTGACCAATGGAGCCCTCTCCCCAACCCCTCCAATATCAGTTTCGTAACAAGACCACATAATAACCAATAATCATAATAATCAAGTCACTTGGCTCATTTTGCCCAAGATTTCTTTGTTGAGTGTCCTAAACTCTATGTATACTCTGAATCCAATACACACCAAGCTTCTCCATCAGATAACGGAGATGGTTGCTAAGTGAATAAAAAACAGAACATACATGGCCTGGGTACAAGGGACAGAAGGATGACTCAGCATCGTCCAGTTATAACAGCGGGACCTCTCTATGTGAGGGACCCCTTCTGACTGGTTTGAGGCTGACCATCCCGATCCCCAACTACACACCATCCATGTGTTCCTGAGAAGTCTCCCTCTCCCACAGTGTGGCCTGAGGACCCTAGGGTGTCCCGTCAATGGCTTTCGGGGGCTCAAAACAACTTGCGTTTCAGTGGCTTATGTGACAAGTTCAGCAGGCGTCTGGTTGGGGTTGGGCACACATCTCTTTCTTGTTGCTGTTTGTTTTTAATTAATTAATTATATTTTATGTGCATTGGTGTTTTGCCTGTGTGTATATGAGGGTGTCAGATCTCCTGGAACTGGAGTCACAGACATTTGTGAGCTGCCATGTGGGTGCTGGCAATTGAATCCGGGTCCTCTGGAAGAGCAGCCGGTGCTCCTAACCACTGAGCCATCTCTCCAGTCTTGGGAACTCTCTCTCGAGACCTGTCTGTGATTCCGATTTGACAGGAAGTCACAGGCTTCCCCTCAGCTGCCTTAGCTTCACCTCCTCACCTGACCTACAGCCAGTTGCTTAGAGCTGGCTGGGGTGGGGGTGGGGACCTGTGGGAAAGGGGGACTGTCTCAGTGGTGCCGGAGGGCTGTATGTTCCTATGGGTATGGGAATAAAGGCGCTGTAGAAACAAACCCTGGCTAGT